ACGACGACGGTAAGGTAAGAAGTAATAACTACGTTATTAGTACTTACTTTCTTTTTCTTTACGTACTACTACTACACTACCACTATACTCTACTCGTACTACTCTCTCTCTCTCTCTCTCTCTCTCTCTCTCTCTCTCTTAGGGAGCAGCAACCACATGCTATGTTGCATTGCATCCGCAAGTCCAGGGTGTCACTGGAAAATATTTTGCAGACAGTAATTTGGCGAAACCAAGCTCACAAGCCATGAATCAGGAGTTGGCCAAGAAATTATGGGATTTCTCAATGGGCCTGATCTGTTGCTGCATCTCTTAATTCGTAAATGAATTGATGCTTTTCAAGGATGAGCTTGGGTACTACATCTTCCAGTTCAGGAATTTGCTGGCTTTCTGAAATATTTTGAAGCAATCAAATTGTGGAGTTCAATTAAGAACAGGGAAAATATGGGGGTGTACATAGGATTTCACAAAAGATATGGTTTTTTCATGTTATTTTTACTTAATTGCATAAAAGAAGAAATTCTATGATGTTCTGATAATCTCGATAGTTTTTTAAATGGCTATTCTAAACTAAGAGTTTTCAACCATTGAGAAAATAATCCAAGCATTCAGCCTTCAAGTCCTAGGTGAAATGTACATTTTTCCTTTCTCCCTGTTGTTAAGGAGGTCAATTTTTGTTTTCTATTTGATAAAAAGAAAAAATCCCAATTCAATTGCTCCTGGAGTTGGTTAAGTTATGCTTGTGGGTTATCTATAATATTCGAAGTGGAAAAGTATACAAAGAGACTATTTACTTTTGGTATAAAGAGATCACAATCGTTCTTGTCGGTTGGATTTCAAATTAGGTGGTTGTGTTGTTGACTAAACTCAAAATTTAAAAAGAAACTTCCTGAATTTTATGACAACACAACCATCTAATTTGACATTTGATTGATAGATGAACTTGTGACACAAAGATAAATGATCTCATAGTATATAATCCCATTTGAATTTGGCTGACAAGAAGCAAACTAGTATAGAGCTATCTAACTGCTTTAAAATTGGTTGCATTGCAAACAATTAAAATGTGATGTATTCCTACTAGACTAGTTCAACAAACAATTTCTAAAATTCTAAGTTGCATGATATGAGAACCCATGCCAAAAAGTCTTTGGTTCTCTTTTAACATGAGCAGCTTAGTGGGAAAGAGATATTTTCTAGCCATACAAGCTACTCGAGAATCACATGGTACAGCCCACAAGCTTGAACCACATTTTATATCAAAACATTAAAAAAATTAAAAAAAAATTGAATCAAACTTGACATAATCTTGTAACTTCACTTGGTTGGTTGTCAAATAAATAGTTCAGCAATTCACATGATTTTGTGATTGTGGTGTTTATACTTAAGGGAGTAATTTAATGTCACAATGTCATTGTAATATAATAAAACCACAATTCTATAAATTGTAGGGGTAGCAATAGACTTGGACCCAACTCGGGACCCGGCAAGTATACCTATTGGATTTGGTGCTATCCAAAATCACCCTCATAAGGAAATCTCATATTTTGTGGGATTAAGATTGATATTGATAAGTTTTCGAAAGAAAATAGAAATCCAAAAGGATTAGGACTCTTGGATATATTTTTTGGTTTTAATATTTGTAACATCGATAGGAAGTTTTTTATTTGGTGTGGATTCCTAACCTTATATATATGGGCTGAAATTGCAGAGGATAGGTGTGTCTTATTTGGGTCATTATATAAGAATGGTTGTTCCTTTAAAGAGAGAGGGAGACACAGTCTCCTGTGCATACGATGCAATTCCTCTTAGAGAATAAAACTTCCTATGAAGAAAAACATTTGATGGTGTCTCATGAATTTTTCAGAAGATTGAAAAGCTTGTTTGAGAAGTGGTTCTCATAGAGATTTTGGGTTGTTTTTTCTTTTAGTTAGAGAGAAACTTAGTTTTTCGTTGCTCTCGTGTGTTTATTTGGTGTTGTCAGTAATGGTTGTCAGAAGTAAAAAAAAGAAAATGATAATGGTTTAAAACGGTTTGCTCAACTTGGGTTTTTGTTAAGGTTTAGAGAGGTAACTCTATGTCCCAAAATCTTTGATGTAACTTTCATTGGTATATTTGATTTCTGTTTGCCGTGCTCGTGGATGTAGCCTTTCTAGGATAAACCACATAAATCTTTGTGTTCTTGTGGTATGTGTCATGTTTTGTTTCTTATACTTTATTTGTCAAAAATCAACCCATCGGGTTTAGAGCTTCCGCGCACAACAAGTGGTATCAGAGCTTGATTTAGGATTTTCGATATGGCAATAAAGATTTCGAATGCAAAGTTCAAGGAGGAGAAATTGATGGCAAACACTATTTTTCAACAATAATTTTGATTTGGGGTTTTCGGTATGACACTAAGGATTTCGAATGCAAGGTTTGAGGTGGAGAAATTGATGGCAAACACTATTTTTTAGCAAGAATGCTGATTTTGGGTTTTCGGTATGACAATAGAGATTTCGAATGCAAAGTTCGAAGTGGAGAAATTTTATGGCAAACATTATTTTTAGCAAGATGATGAAAAAATTTATTTGGCAAAAGATAAAGAATTTATGAAGTTATCCAATGGATGTTGGCATGGTAAGCAGATGATTTTGATATCAATGTGGAGATTATTGGATTTGGTGTTATCCAAAATTACCCACATAAGAAAATCCCATATTATGTGGGATTGAGATTGATATTGATAAGTTTCCTAAAGGAAATAGAAATCTCAAAAGATTAAGACTTTTGGATATATCTCTTGGTTTTGAGATTTATGATATCAATATGAAGTTTTCTATTTGGTATAGATTCCTCACCTTATATATATGGGATGAAAGTGCAGAGAATTTGGCGTCCCATTTGAGACATCATATGGGAATGGTGGTTCCTCTAAAGAGAGATGGGAGACATAGTCTCTTGTGCATAAGATGTAATTTCCACTTAGAGAAGAGAGATTTTTCTCCTGAAGATTGAGATATTTGTTTTTTGTATTCTCATAATTATTTTGGGTTGTTTTCTCTTTTAATATGAGATAGTTATTTTCTCATTGCCTTCATGTCTATATCTAGTGTTGTCGATAATGGTCGCCAGAAGTAAAGAGAAGGGAGAGTGATTTAAAAGAGTTTGCTCGACTGTGTTTTTTGTCGAGGTTTGTTCTAAAATCTTTGATGTAACTTTTATTGGTATAGTGGATTTCAGTTTGTCGTGTCCGTGAATATAGCCCTTCTGGGGTGAACCACGTAAATATTTGTGTTCTTGTATATGTGTGTCATGTTTTATTTCTTGTTACTTTATTTGCCAAAAAAATCAACCCTGTCAGGTTTAGAGCTTCCATGTACAACAATTCCTGACACGGGTCTGGGTATGGGTCCGGGTCCTGTTGGACGCATAAACTGTTGGAAATAAAATACTTCAAGCCCTATACGTTTGGGTGTATTAAGAATCATTTACAATAAATATTCGTAGTCAGCTTTATCTATTAAACAATAAATCAGATGGCTTGAAATCTAGTGGTTGTTGATTGTGACATTGTTGTCAATTATATGAATATATAATAGTAAAAAAGGACAAAAAAAAAAAAACTCATAGTAATGGTGGCAATGGACCCAACTAGACCCGAGACTCGACGTTATAGACCTGAGACCCGACAAGTACGGGTATGGGTCCAACTTATGGAACTGACTGGTCGGGTCCGGGTCCAAAACCTAGACACGAATACATTTGGGTCCGAATGCGGGTCGAGTTGGACCCGACCCATATCCAACCCAATGCCACCCCTAGGCAATTGTAAGATCCCAAATTTTGCACACACACTATCTTTGTCCCAATAATTAGCCCCAAAAAAATAAAATTCAATTTGCACCCTATATGGTCAAAATGAGTGCTCTCCAATAATGAATCTCGACCATCCATTTGGTGAATTTAAATATTTAGACCATTATGAATTCAAAATATTTTTTTATCAAGGTCGTTAACCTAATAATAAACAAAGGAATCTAAAAAGTTTGGAAAGAAAAAAATCTTTCCAATGCCTAGATCTAAACATCTCACTAAAATGAATGGCCTATATTAATTGAGTTAAAAAGACACTTTTTATAGTGTGTTTTTTAATTATGTTTTTTATAAAATATTCATTGGAATGAGAATGTATATATTTAAAAAACGAGAAATGATCCTAGAGGACCCTCTTCCATCCATGTGTGTAGGACCCCAAAGGATCACCATTAAATTTGGCATGGATCTATAAAAAAGTCGAGTCCGACACCCATGTGATAACTTTTGTAGAAATCCTTGCCAACTTTAATAGTGATCCTTTAGAGTCCTACACATATGAGTAGGGGAGGGTCCTATAGGATCAGTACTCTTAAAAAATAGGGTTAAACAAATGCCTTAACATAGTTTTTTAATGTTGTTTCATTATATTATAAAACAATGGTTTCATTAATGTAATTTTTATATTTGTAAGGTCATTTTGTCGTAAAAAAAAAATTGGCGTATGAAATTCTAAGTTCACCATTTATCCTGATTTTCAATTTAGACCGATCCAAACCCAATTTGATTTGCTAATCTAGCAATGTGGCATGGATATGTGGGTAAACAATCCGCCTTACTAATCTGAGTTTTCAAACACTAGTAAGAAGTGAGATGTGAGAAAACAAAAACAAACTTTGAACGAAGTATATACGAAATAAATGAATTTTGAACTTACAACATGTTTGGTACGCGTGATCATACTTTTCAATAAATATTTTAATATGAAAAACTTTTTCATGTGATTAGGTATTAGACTTTTTCACATAAGTGATCTCAATGTATTTTGTCACAACAATTGACAATCAATTAATGTGAAAATACTTTCAAACCTAATCATATGATAAAATGCTTTCATGTAAAAAAAATATTTTTTGTGGAAATATTTTCACACGTATTAAACTGCCTAAAATTAGTAAAAAATGAAAAAACTTTGACGAGAGAGAGGATAGTTGGTTGCCCATGTTTACGTTAAACGTATTTCATAACTACTCAGCAAACTTTTGGCTATTTGAGAAATTTATAGAAGAATATTATTTTATTTTTTGATTGTTTAATGTATTTTATATTTTAAACTCAAGTTTGAGAGCTTTGAATTTTAATTTCACTAAACGAAGCTTAGGAAGTGCATCATTTTCACTACATGCACATGTAAAAAAATATAAAAAAATAATCTAAAAAGTTCAAGGAGCATCCCTTAATAGAGTATTTTGGTTATTTTTATTATTTAAAAATATCCCTTAATGGGGTATTTTTGTTTTTTTTATTATAAAATTATTTTATGAGGGCGTGACAGTTAGAAATATGGACCCTCCAAATTTAAGGTTAATTAGACGTGTAGAGTCGATGTATAAAAAAAATATATATATATATAAAAGAAACAAGTTTATATAAGGTTGCAACTTTAAAATGTAGAATCAAAGATGCACCTCAAAAATTCATCAGAAAAGATTCGTTTTAATATTGAAAAACCCTCTAATTGATCATCTCTACATCAAGATGTATGAATATACAAAAGAAAGAAATATTTTGAGTCTTAAACATAGTGCCTCTTGGAACATATTATCTAGAATGTCCATTTTCAAGATTTTCATATGTTACTACTTGATTTTAACCAATTTTAAAGTTTAAAGTGTTATAATTAGATATGAAAATAGATTTTCAGATAATCCTAATAATTTTTTAAACCAAAATTACGGTAAGATTTGAAGGTGCACCTTGAATTGGAATATTTAAGGTTGCATCCCTAGAGAAACCGCACCCAATATAAAATATTATGCTCTTAAAAGTAAGACCTTGAGCATAAAATATGAAATATCAGAGTTTGTTTTTAAATTTCAAAATAAAATGAGTTTTGTTTTAAATATTTTTTTCCTAAAGTAAAACACACTTTCAAATAGTGTCAAGAAATGTGGTTTCAATACTATAAATTTGTGTGACATCCTTAAAATATATTTCCATCTTTCATTATAAAATTTAAAGCTTAAAAATAGTGTAGATCGATTGGATCTATGAAAACTTGAAAATATTAAAAATCGACTATCCAAATATAGGTTATAAGATGCACTATTTTCAAAACTTGACATCAATTTTTTTTTTTTTTTTAATGTCCATATATCTTGATGTCAAGATAAACAAATTGAAAATATTTCAACATCAAAATAACGAGAGAAATTTTTGAGATGAGCTCTAATTTGATTATTTAGAGGCTCGGCTTTGTCCCTAATGTATACGTATGGAATCTTATGTGTATATATGCCATTATTGTTTTTCACGACATATGGTTTTAGAAAAGGGCTTGAAAGTGAAGGCTACTGCATATACTAGCATCATTGAGCATATCAAATTTCTTGAAATAATTTATGTTAGAGAGAGAAAGCCATCTATCAGAAATAGAGAGAGAGAGAGAGAGAGTTTTTAGCATGAATTTACGAGTAAGCCAAAAAAAGTGTACTGAAAGTTTGGTAATTTTAGAAATTCCGCGTCATTTGACAGTAACAGATTTGAATGGACTCCGAAAAATGAGAGAGAGAGAGAGAGGGAAGAGAGAGAAAGTTCTGAGACTGGGAAGAGAGAGAAAGACCAGGAATGCTGAATGCACGATGTTAGGTAGAGAGAGAAGCCAGGAAGATTTGTTTGTCGAGAGAGAGAAAGACAGAAACTGAATGCACGATGTTAGAGAGAGAAGCCAGGAAGATTGGTTTGTCACTTTGTCTTGTTTGTATCTATGAAGATTCGGAATGCATACTGAAGATTCCAAATGCATAAAACATTTAGAGAGAGAGAGAGAGAGAGAGAGAGCCGTTATAGCATTCGAAAGAAAACTTCCTGCGTACTTTTACAGAGAGAGAGAGATGGATTGGTTGCTTGGTAGGAAGGGGCCATCAGGTTTCTCATATTCTTCCACAGCAGAGCAAGTTACAGAGGGAATTGATGCTACTGGTCTCACTGCCATTGTTACAGGTGCCTTTTTACTTCTCTCTCTCTAGATACCTTAACTCCTTTACTTTTTGAGCAATTGGGGTTCTCTTCTGTTCATTGGAATTTTAATTCATCTGCAATAAATTACACATTATTTGTCCTTATTTTTGTCTTGTCACGATTTTGTGAAATCTCATAATGAAAAAGGGGTTCTGTATGTCTAATGCCTCTGTTTCCCATTTCCTCTATAAACTCAGAAACTAATTTTGACTTAGTGGAATTCTTCATTGGATCCCTGAAAAAATTAGGTCATTCCAGTGTGTCTGACTGTGGACCTATGCGGATGAATATCTATGAATTTTGTTACTTGAGTTACTTTTGATTCATAATTTTTTCATTCGGAGAATTTTTTTTTGGTAAATTGATTCAAAAGAAAAGAAGTTATTTTTCCTATTTCATCTTATGTATTTCTTTTCCGGAATCTGTTAGTCTCCGAAACTCATCATATATCTTCTGATTTTATCATTGAAAAAGTCATAGTTGCTTTGCTCAAATTTTGACACATCAATGATTCAAAACTCCTCTGAGACTCCCGAGTTACTCGGACTCATCTCCTTGCCGCGCCGTGTACTTGGTGCAACTCGGGCCGCTTAAAAAAATTTAAAAAACTGTAAAAAAATATATATAAATATGGATTCAACGTATAAAAATTATATATCTAATTTGAATGTTTTTTACAATGATTTGTTAATTTTTCTTGTCATATGCCCTATTTTTATATTTTTTTTATTTTTTGGATTTTTCTAAAATGCCTCCAACCATAAATCAATTTTTCTTAGTCGAAGTTTATATATTTTTGGGTAGTATACAAAATATTCGCTTTTTATAAAACATTTCAAAAATACCCAAATTATTTAATATCTACATCCATACCCTTTTTTGTCATGGTTTATTTTATTACTTTTTACCCAAAGTGCCTTTCATGGACTTGATAGGGCTGTGAAGAGTCCAAGGACCTTCCATGCTCGTGTAGGCTGGCCTCTTGAGCCACACAGTCCTAAAAGTACCATTACCATCCTAGTCCTAATAAGACCATGACAGTCCGTGATCCACATGGACAACTATCACTGTCCTAATAGGACCGTGATGGTCTTTTATGGAATTATGGGGTTAAATTGGAACTAAAGGATGGTCAGAGTCCTATTAGGACCATGATGGTCCATTCAATAAAGTCCTTGGACTATCATGTCATCATAGTCCTAATTGGATTGTGTCCTTTTAGCACCGTGGGGATCAAGTGTCCTAAAACATTATATTTAAAGAATTTGGGCATTTTTCGAATTTTTAGAAACAAGTCGGATATTTTTTATAATTACCCTATATTTTTGTGGCTTTTTGGACTTTTTATACGGCCGATATGCACACACATGTATACATGCATGTATATCTCATTTCCTTGCCGAACCGAGTGCTCAAGTGAAATTCGGGCCACTTAAAAATTTTAAAAAATGATAAAAACATATAAAAATGTGGATTCAATGTATAAAATTATATATGTATTCCAATTTCAGAAACCTTAAGATGGCTTGAAAATTGAAAATCCATGTTCAACCCTAATTATGGAATTTTAAAAAAATAATGGATTCAAGCTTATCTATAAATACCTAAAAATCTTGAAAATAGATGGTCTAAATAACTTGTTACAAGATGCACTATTTTTAGAACTTGAATTTTTTTCTTTTTATCGATATATCTCGAGGTTGAAAGGATCAATTGGAAGGTTTTCCAACTTCTTAACACTCTTTTCTACTGATTTTTGGTATAAACTTGATCACTATAGTATAACATTGCAACCTTATATAAAATTAGGAGGTGCGAGTTGATTCAAGTAGAAAGCTCAAAAAGGGTAAGGGGTAGGCCTAAAAAGACTTAGCTGGAAGTAGTGCGAAAATATATGAGGACTTATAGCCTTACTGAGGATGTGGCCCTTGATAGAGCATAATAGCGGACCAAGATTCTTGTAGTCGACCCCAAATAGTTGAGAAAATACTCTAATGATGTATAAAGTAGATGGGTGTATTTATTAAAAAAAATCATTTACTTCTTTCTTAAAAAAATATTTTAATAAATAACTCAATCATTAAGTAAGGGCAGTGTTTCAAAAAGTGCTAGGCGACACCTAGGCGGTCGGGGGGGGTCCAAGCAGCCCAGCGCTTAGGCGGGCGACCAGAACCTGGGTGGCCCAGTAAAATTTTTTTTTTTGGGTTTTTCTCTCTCAAAAAAAAAAAGACTCAAAATGACCCAAAAATGGCCTCAACGAGCGGTATTTCTGCCCTTGGGGGGGGCGCAGGCCCTGGGCGGCTGCTCAAGGATAGCTGCCTAATTTAGGCTGGTGCCCGGGGATACCCGCCTAATTTGGCGGCCTAGGCCTGAGCGATGCGCCCAAGCCTTTTGGACCGCCTAGGCGGCCAGCCCAAGCACTGGGCGGTCCGCTTTTTGAAACACTAAAGGTAAATTTTAATTTTTATAAAAATACAATGATATTTTGAAAGCTAACTTCTTGGAGCTTTATTTGTATAATACCATTGTCATTTAATAAAAATTTTAACTTTACCTTTTATGAAAATGAAAAATATGCCATCTGCCTTTCAATAATATTTATACAAATACCCTTACTTGATGGCCATAATACCACAAAAATAACTTTTTAAAAAAACGAAACTACATAGTTAGTACATCCACCATTCACAACTCATTCTAACATTTGTATTTTGAAGATTTGTAAATTGTATATTATCTCCTCTCTCTCTCTCTCTATATATATATATATATATATATATATATAGCTTTTCTCGACTTTTTATGTTACCTTTGGTTTTGTTTCACTATTACATTGTTTATTTTATCTTTAAACAATTTTTTTGTAATTTTTAGGCCCATTGGGCCCTGTATACTACTCAGTTGAGTCCACTTGGACTCAGTCGAGTTACTTACCTTGGGTCAGGGCTGAGTCCGAGGCCTGAGGCAAGTTGAACATTGGGACAAAGTACCACTTTAACATCATAAACCATTGTTAGTAACTACTGGGTACAAAATTATTATCACAAATTTTGAATTATTTTGGTTGGGATTGGTATAGATACTGGTATCATAGTTGAGTGAGAGATTGTAATTCAATATAGAACAGTGTTTGGTGTTTAAACTTGCAATTAATGAAGGTAAAGTTTCTACAGTTTTTGGTGTTTAATCTTGGGTTCATGAATAATGTTTCTCATTATCGAATCTCACCATCTTATAGCCCATCTGAAGGTCTCTCCGTGAACCCACGTTTTAACTCCCTGCTTTTACCATTCCTATTCTAAATTCATTAAACTGCAGATGTTATTTCCAGAATAATGTGCTCATATTCAGTTCGGTGAACAGAATGGCGACTTTGAATGGGTCATATGAATATTAAATTGTTTATGTGGCTCTTAATTTTATTTAGTTTCTTTCTGAGGTCAGGTCATTGTTTCTCTAATGATTGTCAAGTAGAAGTAACAGATTGGTGAAATTTGAGGAGGTTCTCATTATTTCATGTGGTAGTCTTGCTATTGAGAAGCTCTTCCTTTTATACAAACGGTCTCTTCCCAACTATATTTGACTGCCTTGTAAATTAGTTGATTATCCTCCTGTGCTCTTTATCTTTTGCTAATACATCGAAGTTATCAAATATCTCTCCCAAGATACTACCCACCGATCATTGTTACCCCTCTCTATTGGAAGGGGACAATCACTCATTTCTGAAGGTCTAGTGAAATCCATTTCATTTCTGTAGATTGCTCCCCTAACACTATTATCACATCCGATCTTACTTGCAAATTAGCACAAAACTGTTCATGATCTCTGCCCTGAAAACCCCTCCCCCATCATACTATTCTTTATTGAACATACTGGAAGCTACAACCAGTAGGTTGAAACTTCTTGAAAACTTGAGGATCTATGTAAAAACCTACAAGACTCCACTATTTTCAGTCCATGGGAAACCGTAAATTACAGATGTTTAATACATAAGTAAAAACCTGCAAGACTTCACTATTTTCCGTCCATGGGAAACCATAAATTACAGATGTTTAATACATGAGTTTTGGATTCTTTATAATCACACGAATTGTCCACAAGGAATTATGAAGCTTTGCAATCCTAAAAGGTAACTGAAACCAAACTTTGCACAAACTAGAAATGAAGGATCCAGCCTTCTATAGCATGATTTCTTCATCTATGGAGATGATTCTCATATCCTTTCCAAGAATTTCCTTCCATATCGTCTTATTATAAGAAGTCCTCTAGTGGTATGCATAGCAAATAGGATTGAAGTAGAACTGATGCAAGTGGAATATGTCCTTACCAAATGGTATTGCCTACTATCCCTACATCATTTTGACAACCTCAAATGCCTGTCAAATTTCCATGATCCACACACTGCTTTGATCCATCTCAAATGGCTCTTGTGGCATTAGTCGTGGGAGCCATGAAATCCCCATGATGTTCGACTCTTAAAGGTTCTATAACAATATTGACTTGGAGCAATGTGTTCGCCTGGGTAAAGTTTTATAGTTAATCACATTTTTCAGCCAATATTTGAATTAAGGATGATTTACTCAGTGATAACAGTTTTGTTTATCAAATAATAATCTCAAATTACAAACTTGTTACATACTAGATGAACATCTTGTCCAACGTAACTAGGTGTGCTATGTGATTCAGATGCCAACACCTACTTATGGACTCATGCATGAATATGTGTACCACATTTATTATACCATAGAAATTTCATTATGGCTCACAACGGGTGACCTGAGTACCTTAGCTTGCAAGCTATGATGTAATGTCACTTGGATTGAAAAAGCATTAATTAATAGCATTGGCTCGTGAGTTTGAGAAACTTGCCCATGCCCTGCACAAACTGGCTAGAAAGAGATGGCTAGCATTTGGAAAATAGTTATCATCTTCTTATATGCTATACGTGAACTAGCATGACTCACACGTTTTATATCAGTAAGAATGATTTTGAGCTTTTCTAGTTCCATTTGGTGGTGTTGGTGATTGTGATGATGATGCCAGCTATTTTTTATAGTTGGCAATCAGAATTTTTTATTGAAGGGTTGCATATGCTTAGGACGACGTGCTTTTTAGTTCTTTTATGGAGTATTGACACAGAAATACTAGAATCTTCAGATGTGTGACTACTAACCAATGAGATGCGTCAGGATGGGATTAGGAGTTAAGGACAATTCAGGCTTCATCCAAGGAGCTCCATAGCATCAAAATGGAAGTCATAGAGAACAGCATCCTACTTCCATTCTTCTTCTTGTTCTGCACGTTTCTGCGTTGTAATTCCTAATGTTTGTACTACATGTGATGAATGCTATACTTTGCCATTGAGTAGTGATCCATAATAAAGGAAAGCTCATAATACTATTTTTTAAACATTACATTCCTCTTTCCTGTGTGTGCTTGTAATTATTCAATTTAGAGATCTAGTCATCTTCAAATATGCACGTTTGAAATCCTATTGTTTTAAGCAAGCCAAATAATCTGGTTTCACTAAATGGGAACAAACACAATAGAAAAAAAGGGAAATACTGGAACAAAGTACACAAACCCAATGAACTTTCGCTGATTATGTGATCAAATTTTCCTTTAACCCACCATGTTAATGATATGAAATTCTCATTTTGCTCGTTGTAGGTGCTTCAAGTGGTATAGGTATTGAGACTGCCCGTGTTCTTGCACTGAGAGGAGCACAAGTAATCATCGCAGTCAGGAATGTGGCTGCTGGTCAGGAGGTTAAAGAAGGGATAATTAAGGAAAACACTTCAGCAAAGCTTGATGTTATGGAGTTAGATCTTAGTTCCATGGCATCTGTAAGGAAGTTTGCATCGGAATTCATTTCGTTGGATCTTCCTCTTAATATTCTCATGTAAGAAAATAGAATGACTGGTAGGCATTATAAATTTCTATGCAAATATTCTCATGAGCTATGTTCTTGCAAGGACATTGCATAGTTCTAATACTTGAACTCAAACCAATCTAAAACTAAGTGGACTCAGAATATCTAATTTGAAAACATCAAATAACAAAGATATAAAAAATTCATAAAGTTTGGTGAAGTTTCTCTCTCTCTCTCTCTAGTGAAGAAGTCTCTCTCACACACATTCTTAGACCCATCTATTTTCTAGCCCCCACCGCTGTGTGTATATGTAAACCAGAGTTATAAATGGGCAGTAGCTGAGGAAATGAAAGAGAATTTAAGAATGGGTGCGGTTTGTATAGAGCCGAGGTGCTAAACAATCAAAGTAGAGCACACCTTCAAATAGTGTCGAGAAATGTGGTTTCAACACTGGAAATCTTTGTGATAGCCTTAAAATATATTTTCATCTCTAATTAGAAAAAGTTAAAGCTTCAAAAATAGTGTAGATCGAGCAGATCTATGAAAACTTGAAAAATCTTGAAAATTGACGGTCCAAAAATGCAATACAAGATGCACGATTTCCAGAACATGAAATTCACTTATTTTCTCATGTCCATGCATCTTGATGTCAAGATGATCAATTTGAAGATATTTGGGCCTCCAAACAACCTCTCTTCTAGTGAAATTTTTTAGGTGGGCTCTAATTTGATTGTTTAAGCCTTGGCTCTATATAAACTTAAACCTTTAAGAAATGGGCTAAACTCACCTTTCTCAGTAATTTTGGAAAATGAAATAAGGACTTATGTTATAATTTTCTATGAAAAATGATTTTAAGAAATGGGCTAAACTTACTTGCTTGGTAGGGGTGTTATAATTTCCTATGCAAATATTCTCATGAGCTATGTACTTTTAAGGACATTTCAAAGTTCTAATAGTTGAAGTCCAACCCATCTAAATCTTATTGGACTCAGAATTTTTAATTTGAAAGCATCAAATAACAAAGATATGAAAAAAACATAAAGTTTGGTGAACTCTCTCTCTCTCTCTCTCTCTCTCTCTCTACACACATACATATACAGAGTAGGTAGGTAA